CGACCCTATTTTAAGTGAGAACAATTTTTTTTGCTTTCTGCAGAAAACCCCCTGAGATTTCGGTTAATAAACATGTTGTCTGTCTAGAAAATAACGTTTTTATATATAGATTCAAATGTTTTTTAAATATTCATATCTTTTAAACCGTAACTTCAATTTTAACATGTTATATATGAAAATTGATTAGAAAAATGTGTAGAATATGAATACGATGTTATGTTTACTCGTTAATCATTTTAAAATGTTGTTTAGGGCCAGATTCAAATGCTTCAAAAAAATATTCACAGCTTTTAAACCCTAACTTCAATTTTAACATATTATATATGAAAATTGATTAGAAAAATGCATAGAATCTGAATATGATGTTGTTTCACTTGTTAATAATTTTTAAAATGTTGCTCAGGATGCAACATTAATCAGTAGTGCACGGCCCATCTTTCTTTCCTACGGGTGCCGATTCAAATTGAAAATGAACACCTCAACAAAAAAATTTGGAGACGAAAGATACCATCTATGACCATGCATGTCCGTCAGTGAGAGTGGGAAGAAGGATAAAAGACAAGAGTGATAAGATGCCATGTTGAAATAAAGGACATGGACCTATTGGGGTCTTGAGTCATGGTTATTGTGTTATGGGCGTGTGGTATTTTTTTCTTCCGTTGCAACGCATGAGCTCTTTTGCTAATAATTGATAAACTACTTGTTATTGGTCACTTGTCGTAGCCCCTAAGAAAGTTATCTTATCCGAAGAAGGTAGTCACAAAAGTATTACTATCAATCATGTTTGCCAAACCCTCTTGGCACATTTCATAAAATGGTTTTATGTTCAATCCACTAGAAACACGCCAAGCAATCTCGTTGTTCACCAATGCGGTGTACTCACCTTCTTTATATACTTCTTCTCCACCAAACAACCACGAACAACTAGAGTAAACCGAACATGCTAATGAGGTAGGTAATGTATATTTACCATATGAGCTTCAATTTTTTATTTGATTAGTATTTTCCTAATTGCGCCGCTTGCATTTTTAATAAATGCTAAGTTTCATTGCCTACGACCAACAAAACAAAAACATTTCTTGCCCCATGGTTGCTCAACTTCTACTACAGCCGAGAAATGTTCTTGAATGCAATCCCTTTTCTTTGATGCAAGATTATATCTACAACGAGTGCGACTACATACATCTACATGTATATATTGTAAAGCAGTCTGACGACTTCAAATTTCTTTGCAACATTTCCAAATTTGTGTTGCTCATTTTATGGATACAGTGCTAGCAATGCGCCCATCGTGTTCTTTGACTATGGATCATATTATATTTTTTACGGTCTAGACGAACTACAGTGTTTTGAATTTACATTTCAAACCCGCTCATACTTCCCATCAAAACTTAACTTATCCAAAGGAAATGACATCTATAAAATCAGAGTTGGTTCTCGATGTCCTCTACTTTATTTGTTTTTAGGATTAAAATCCTCCCAAAGTCTATGCACTCATGTTTACGTCGATGGTAAATATCAAAGAGTCAACGTTTACATTTCTTCGGCAAAGTCAATGGTGCGCATGACCACCCAATTCTTTGGCGAAGTCAATGTTGTCAACAAATACCTGCATGCCACATAGACATATTTGAGTCTCAGCTCGGCGAGTAATAATTGGCTGAAGATTAGAATGATGGGAGCAAGGTAATATACCGTTTTCCACCCATCAGGGTCAAGCACAGAGGTGATCTTGGTGCCGATCCCTGGCAAGGGACCTGGCTCCCGCACCACTTGCCCTCCGGACAGCTTCACCACCTCGGCTGTCTTGTAGACATTGTCGGTGCCTGTCGCGATCTGTTAAAAACCAACATACCGAGAGCTTAGCGACGTAACAACAATGGTTCCAATCATCTGCGAATTGCAAAGGCAATGGAGATAATCCATCCATACCTGACCATAGGCTTTCCCCTTGTCATATTTAGCGACACCGTACTTGTAGGTCAGCTCCAGAACTGCATTCCGGTCTTCGGGCCCGTACCCCATCACCGCCACCGTATACTGCGTAAGAGTTTAATGCATCACGCTCTACAAGAAATTAGATACTTCATCTGATCCATATTAATTGTCGCTGATTTAGTATACTACTATTCTTTTAGTATAAAGTTATACTAAATCAATGACAATTAATTTGGATTGGAGGGAGTAGTAGATTGAGCAGAGTGATCACCTTGTTTCTAGGGTTGTCTCGCTTCCGGAGTAGTTCCATACCATAAGCCTGCAATTTGGCGACAACAAGTCACTCTGGTGATCTTTGAGATACAATAAGCCATGGAACTGCAATGAACATCAAGCACTTTTGAGCTGCCTACCTTCTCGTAGAAGCTTATGGCTCGGTCGAGGTCGCCGACACGAAGCATCACCTGGCATAGTGGCTCTCGAGTCCCTGGCCTCTCAAGGATCTCAAATTTGTAGCCATCAGGGTCTTCGATGAACGCGATCACGGTCTTGCCACCCTTGACAGTGCCATACTCCTTTGTCACCTTGCCTCCCTTTGCTCTTATGATTTTAACCGTTTTTGCCACCTGTTGTGACCAATCATCAAGTTCAAGGCACGTCACATTAGTGTTAACAGAGCACCATACCTCATTCTTAAGAAAACCAGAGCACCATAGTTGTTACAAAACAATTTGCAAGGGAAATGGTGCCTTACATCATCGGTTGCGATGCCGAAATGACCAAACCCCGCCCCGATATCGTACTTGTCGACCCCGTAGTCTGCAGACGAATCGCCAGGTCGACGTTAGCAACGATAAAATTACAACGAGAATGTGCTTATACTGTATCTGTATCTTTGTTGAAGAAAAAAAAGTGCTTATGCTGTATGGCGTGTAAGTAAGAAGTAACTGTAGGTGAGCTCGACGACGAAATGGGCGTCCTCGCGGCCGTATCCGAGGAAAGCATTGGTGTACTTCTCTTCGGGTATGTCGCGCTTCCTCAGCAGCTTCATGCCCAGGCATTCCGTATAGAACCTGCAATCATTGGGCACGTCAGAATCCTCTGCTGAAGAACGAACGAGACCGGTGTTGCATTGCAGCTACTACGGCCTGCGCGCTGACTTGATGGTTTTGTGGATGTCGCCGACGCGGTAGACGACGTGGAGGAGCCTCCGGTGGTCCTTCTTGGCCCAGGCGAAGGCCTCCTCTTTGCTACAGAAGGTGGCATTAGCCTGCGCGGCCTCTGCGGAGGCGCGGAGCTTGGGCGCGCCGCTCGTGCTCAGCCTGCTCGGCTCGGACCGCAGCGCTATTCCGAGAAGAGAAGAAGCAGCAACGAATGAATGAAATCAACCAAATACAATGCTCATTTTGTTGCTGTTGTCGGCTGGTGTGGAAGAAGGAACATGAGCTTACCTGCAGCGGTGGAGAGGAGCATGAGGGCGGCGCACGCGACGGCGCCACGGCTGACCCTCATCGTCGTCGGCGCGTGACGCTGGGCCGTCGACCGATGTGCTTGCGTGCGCTGTCGTGGCTGGCGCTTTCTTGCTATCGCCCAATTTCCCCTGTGTTTTTTTTATGTATTAAGTAATATTTTTCTGTTAAATTAAAAAAATGCTGAACATGCTACTCGGCTCTAGCAGGCGGGGCCCACGCATCACATCTCGAAACCAACATGCAGTGAAGCAGCAAAAGCTAACCAGACCACCAGCGAGCACAGCACTGAGCAGTGGCCAGTGGCACTACTACTACACACGGACACGGGATTGAGCAGCAGAAACACGGGATGCGCTAAATCCTACCTCGCCGACTGACGAAAACAGCTGAAGAACTCGAGAACCACAAGCAGCACTGGCGCCGCGGCCAACCTTGCGCAAACTCACGCGAGAGTACTACAAAGTTATGAGAAGACAAGGTAGCGGCGGAGGACTGGATGGAGCGGGATAGAGGGCGGGAGCGCCGCATAGATTTGGCGCGGGGCGGTGAGGGGAGAGGAGAGGGGAGCTGACCTGCGGCGAGCGGGCGGAGGGAGCCGGTTGGAGTCGGCGTGGCCGTGGGGAAGGAAGGAGGGTGTCGCAGAGTGTGGGGAGATCCAAGCAAGGGTTAGCACTTAGCAGCAACAACGACAACAAATGCGCTACGGCCTACGGGTGGATGCCGAAAGGAGGCAGGGTGGGTGCACGTAGGCTGGCGGGAGGAGCGCACCCAAAATATCCACCTGCCCGCCCTTTGCCGACTTGCCGGCCCGCGTCGACGTGTAAGATTACACGGCCGCGGCAAGGAGGTGGTGGCCCTGCGGGATCCGTCTGTATCCTTCGAGTGCGATATAGGTCCCTTCTCACATGTGTGCCCGCCTAACTTTTTTGCTTTCTCTTTTTAAAAAACGAAGCGAAAAGATTTGCACCGCCTCCAAAACTTAGCGGTCCAAAATCGAAGATGTAAAAATTGAACCGCCAAAAAATGCGTTTTGAAACTCCAAAAAAAGCTCAACTCCAACAGATGATCCAAATTGATGATTCAAAAAAGCAACTCCAATAGATGGTCAAAAATAAAGATGTAAATTTCTTAAAACGACAAACCACTACATTCAACATAGTTCAAACATCAAATTCAACATAGTTTCATACATGAACTTCAACTACTACTTATTCAAACTACTAGATAAACTACTCCTCATCGTCGGAGCTGCGGAACTGCGCCCAGAACTCCTCCTTCTCCGGGTCGTCGCACCCCTCCTCCTCCTCGAAGTCTGCCCAGTCCTCCTCGAAAGAGGACTCAATGGGGATCACCGTAGAGGGACCGGCCTCGTCCTCCTTCGCCCCCTTCTTCTTCTGCTCTGTCTCACGCTTCTAGTAGTACTCCAGCTCGGCCTGGACGTACTTCGGATGCTCCCGATTAAACCTCGCCATCGCCTCCTCCTCGGCCTCCTCGGCACTGACGACAACCGACGGCTTCTTCGTCGTCTTCTTCTTCATCGGGATCTCCTTCATCTTGATGCCTTGCGGCACAAGCATCTCCGCTTCCGCCCGACTCTCGATCTCTGGGAAGTTGAGGTGCTCCTGAGGCCTCTCGGCACGCCACACCGCCGCGTCGTAGGCACGCGTGGCCTCGTGGGCAGAGGGGTACGTGCCGATCCACCAACGCCTCTCGGCGTCGGAGAACTCCACTCCGAAGTTACCGGAGGGCTTCTGCCTCACGCCGAAGAAGCCCGACTTGCCCTTTGACGTCTTCTTCGGCGCTATCGGAGAGCGGTGAGAGCGGTGGAGCGGCGGTGGCGTGCGGCCGGGGCGGTGGCGGACGGAGCTAGGCGGGCCGGTGGCGGACGGAGGCGGGCCGGGTCGGAGCTATGGCAAGCGGGTCGGGGC